TTTCGTGGAAATGGCAAAGGGACTTCACCAATATTCCAGCTTCCAACTTGTGAGTGAGGTTGCGTCTGTTCAAGGCTTCAAGCAATTGTATCTTGTAGAGAGGTTTAATTGGGATCATGTATAGTTAAACTGATTGGCTCCCAATCGTATAATTAAATTTGCATTCATGTATAGGTAACCCAAAAGGTAAAACTGATTGGCTCCCAATCGTATAATTAAATAATGACCAACTCTTGAACAAATTGAAGCTACAAAGTAGGAGCCACTAACCCACTAACTAAAACTAATGACGTTACTAACTAATAATAATAAAATTAATTATTTACAGAAATTGAATTTATGCACAGCCCTTATCATTCCATTCCTTGAATTTCCACCAACGATGTTTTCACTCCCCTTTTAGTCAGAGAATTCATTGTAGTAATAAATACAATAAAAAGGCATACATAATTAATGGATTCTTTATTGTGTATAATTAAAAGGATATTTTACTATAAACGAAGCATCATAGATCCACAGGGGGATAAAAGAAGCATGAGTCTTGATGAAAAAGGGGGAAAAAATCACCATAGATAAAAAATCATTATAATCAACCTAATTGGAACTGCTTAGAACAAAAGCGGATTAAAATCTCCCCCAATGAAATTCATTTGCAATTTCATAGGTAGTCCCTACTTCCACTTCTATAATTTTGAGAAAACATTGCAATTTCATCAATAGTCCCCACTCGTGGGCCAATTTCAATTGCAACCAAATTTGCACCCTTGCAATAGCTTCTCACATCATAGCAAGTGTAGGATGCAATTGCACCTCCTTGCTTAGGGATGACCATTACTGCATCTCGTCACCTGTCTTAGGCAAAATTCACATGGCAAATTCACAAAAGACTGCATGCATAGAAAAATATTTGTCTGGATAATTAAAAAAATGGGAGACTTTCCTAGTCAGATGATGTACTGGCTCCCCTCAATACCTGACAGTTTTGAGTGCTGGAGAAAAAGACTAAAAAAAAAACAACGAAGCCTTACAGTAAACTTCTTAACAAAACACATCCAATGCTGGCCCCTTCACTGCTCCACCCCGCCCTGCACTGCTCCACCCCGCCCTGCATCAATCGACTCTCATGTAAGCCGAGGACGTTTGCTTGAGGATGCCTCAGGGGTCTCTTCATGCTCCGTATGCCGAAGGTCATAAAAAGTATTGGTCACTTCGACGATACGGTAGACTGGCAAATAGGCGGAATGGTCCTCCCTAGCATAAACCCCCATATCCATCCCAACCCTTCCAAGAAAGGTGGTCAAGAAGGTGGCATATGGAAAGGCAGTGTACCAGTTTTCCCCTCTAGGAGCAGCCTCAACCATGTTCACGCACATGAGAGATGCGAGGTTAAGAGGAACACCTCTTTGAGCTTGCACAAGGATAAACAGGTCAAGTCTACGAATTATCGAATGACCACTGTACCTTGGCATGAAGCAGTTGACGATCATCCAATGGAGGAATCGAAGAGGATCTGGGAGGAAAGAAGCCTGGATGCGCCCATTCGTCAGTTTCCCCAGTTCAACTTCAAAATCAAAATCGTACAGCCGCCGAAGATCGCTTCTGCTATTAATGTGGTGTCCTGCGGCGGGGAGATCGAGGATCTCAGCAAACTGATCAGGCTGGAAGCAGGCTCTATAACCCAGGAAGACCGACACGAGATGAGAATCGGAGGGACCAGACAGCTCTAAATTGTGGTAGAACTTCCTCACCACATGCGGGCAGTAACTGGTGCTTCCTCGACTCCGGAGATCGAAGAACTTTTCCCAGCCAAGATTTTTAATTAACTGCTTCACTTCTTGAGGGAAAGGGGACAGGTGGATGAACTCGTACTCGGCCACAATAGATGTCTTGCTCGTGAATGAAAGATAGTCCGCGAGACTTGTGGTGGATAGGCAGTCGTCGTTTGATAGAGTTAGAATGCCCATGTTTGCCATGGAGTCAGAGGAAGAAGGAACAAGGGAAGGTGAAGATGGAGGAAAGAGGGATTGTAGGGAAAGAGAGATTGTAGGTGTAAGAAAAAGTGATCGTGGGGGTTGAGTGTGGAGACGTGTGATGGAGACGGTTGAGTCTGGAATGTCAAGAGTTAGAAGATTTGGGAAGATATGTAGTAATGATGATCTTAACTCGTGTAGGTTAAACTAGGGTAACTAAAGCTAGTTAAACTAGGGTTGGCGCTGATACCGCAGGAGAAAACTAATGGGCTCGCACGTTCCAGGCCCACTTTTGAATATTGCATGGGTCATGTACAAGCCCACGTTTGAATGTTATCTAAAAGCCTGCAAAAATCAATGATCAGACCCAGTCCAACTAGAATTAGTCCTAAACGCACCGTTAATACATAAACACAAACTAAGGAGACCTCTCCATCCGATTCGAATCAAATTATGTGTTCTTCATCTTCTTCCTCAATCCTCTGGGCGAGACGAACACTACATATCAGGAAACCTAAATTTCACCGAGTGATAGAAGTTTCGAGAAAATCACAATAACGCTAAGACAATATGACAAAGCACTAGGGACATGAACCCTAGGGTTAGCAAACCTCTTTCAAGGGTTCTTTTGCAAATGAAAAGTTCGATGAACACAATAATAGACATGGTCGCCGTAATCGTGTTAGAAAGAGATAGGCGAGGGGAAATACAATGGCGAAGAAGAAACAAGACAAAATTTTTTTGGGAAATTCAATTTACGTTGAATGTGGATGGGGAGCTTCTCTTGGAACTGTGAAGGGGCGTCCCTCCAAGACGAGAGAGGGATCGTGTAATTGGTTAGGGAGACTGGAAATTGGTTTGGGCGGCAGTGGGTCTACCCAATTGGGTTTGAGTCTTAATCCATTTAATTTAATCGGGGCAGTTAGTTGGACTAGGATGAAAACAAACTTAACGCGGAGGAGGCTTTTTGTAATTTGTTTAGTTATTTAGTGGCGCAGTTAGGTTTGACAAACGTGAGTCGTGGAGATTGATAACGAACGGTTAAGATCGGCCAAGGTACCCGTACCCGGCTTTTGCCCTGGGCACCGTAGAAGTCACCATATATATATATATATATATATATATATATATATATATATATATATGGGTCAGACTGGTGTGCGTCAGGCGTATACTATACGTCAGGTACTACTAGTGAGATATCTCTATCTAGACCATGAATTAAATCGAGTTTGGGGTATGATACTATACCCTAACCTCTAATGGATAAACCCCAAGCACTGATTTCCTAAACCCTAACCCGAAGTTTGATTTAATGAAAAACAAAAATTGACCGTTGAGATCGGCCGGAGCTCATCTAACCACATCTAACGGCTAGATCACCTGACGTATAGTATACGCCTGACGTACACCAGTCATCACCAGTCATCACCAGTCATCACTAAATATATATATATATAAATATATATATATATATATTTAGTGGCGCAGTTAGGTTTGACAAACGTGAGCCGTGGAGATTGATAACGAACGGTTAAGATCGGCCAAGGTACCCGTACCCGGCTTTTGCCCTGGGCACCGTAGAAGTCACCATATATATATATATATATATATATATATATATGGGAGTTCTACGGTACCCAGGGTGAAATCCGGGGTATCGCATACCTTGAGTAAGAAAACGCTACCCAGAACTTGAATTGACTGATCTTTCGGACATGAAACTATACTCTAACCCTTAAAGATCAAAATCTAGGTCTTAATTCTCTAAATATTATATTCCAAGATCAATTTAATTAGAAACAATAATCGACGGTTATGATTCGTCCAAATATAGGCAAAAAAAAGTAATGCACCATCTTAGGGTTTATAGTTTATGATTTAGATAATTAGCACCTAGGATTCACTCAATAAGGGTTAGGGTATAGTATCATGCCCAAAAATCCTGCTAATTCGAGGTCTAGATAGCGTTTTCATACTCAAGGTATGCGGTACCCCGGATTTCACCATGAGTACCGTAGAAGGCACCATATATATATATATATATATATATATATATATATATATATATATATATATGGATACAACTCGTATGCTCCTGACACATACGATGCGCCAGACCTTTACATCGTTGATCTAATCTAACCGTCATTATAAATTATAATTAAATCAATAATAATAATTACTACTTGCACCCTTTAAATAATTATACATACGATAGTGTCCCCCAACAATATTTATCACTATATTTAATATTGCAATACGTAATTACATTTAGTCATACTTTTAAGCCCCCAAAATTCATATAATTAAAGAAACACAACTGCCATCAAAATTTATTCCATTACTCTACCTATTATAAGGTCCAACTTTTATCCAAACCCCAGTTTGTTCTTCTTTAGCTTCTCTTTCATTATAGAATTCCAGATAGAAAGTTGCAGAAGGCGGCAAGCTGTATGAACATCTAACCCATTGAATTCTTTTTTCTCCCTTTCACCTTTTAACGACATCATCATCAGCAAACCAGAAAATCCTTTTCAATTTCCCAATCATCAAAATTCATTCCAACCCGTTAATCATCTTCAAGCTGTAAATATTTTCCCCCAATTTCACCATCATCAGAACCCTTCCCAGCTTCTTGACCCATCGTCGATCAATTTATTTGACGGCGATCCACCACCGTATCCAGAGTGAAAAATTGATATGGTTGTTTTGTTTTCTGAGCGAGCTTGAAGGACTGAGGGAACTTAGTCGAATCGAGATCTCGTGCTGGGATAAGGAATTGGAAAGAGTTTATAATTGTTGGCAAAATGGAGACTATCGACAATGTCTAATAGATCCACAACGAGAAATCTTTAGATCCAACCTCCACATGGGATGAAAACCCACATCGCCATTAACCCAATTCAATCAAGCATAAGCCCAAATACCAAATCGCCATTCTTGAACTAGATGGAAACAGAGCATACTCATTCAAGAGGCGGAACATTGACCATAGCTTTGGTCTTAGAGTAGTAAGATCCGGTGAAGTTAGGAGTGTCCTCTTCCTTGAACCAAATACCGGACCCGAGAGGGTGCATGTCGTCCCGGCAGACATCGGCAAGGGTCAGAGTGCCGAGGCAACCACATTGGTCCTGATGGTCTCGACCTTGTGGGATTCGCACCAGTCGACATTAGGGCGGTCGGTGACGGCGGCGGCGTTGAAGACGTGGGTCGGCTTGATGATGGCGATGTCGTTCTCGAGGAAGGTGCGGTTCTCGAGCCTGCCGGAGGCGTAGGTGTAATCGTGTCCTGAGATTCACAGATTTTGCCCAGCCAGGAGGCCGTCGATCCAGTCGGTTCGGCCTTAGATGAGGAACTTGAGTGGGTTGTTGCCGTTGCTGTTCGCCAATTGATCCATTTCTGGTAACTGGATATGGCTGGTCAGAGATGGTCCGGGGAGCCGACTGAGGGACGAAGAGGCGGAAGAGAGCTTTTCTTGTTTTGGTTGATTGGTAGTGTGTCTTTTGGGGAATGGGATTCGTTTGGGGTGATAAAGAAATACATAACAAATTTAGATGAATAAAAACTATCGATCATACAAAATTTAGGTAGGTTAATCTATCTATGGAAGAAACAAGGTAGTTTAATACAAAAAGTAATAAGAAAAATTGTTAGATGACTACATTGTACGCATCAACTTTTTAATGGATGTAGTAAGTAATTATAATTGACAATTGATAATTAATTTCACTAGAAATAATCATGCTCGTTGGATTAGATCAACGGTGCAGGTAATCTGGCGCACGCTATGTGTCAGGAGCATACGAGTGTGACCCATATATATATATATATATAAATTCAGTGTGTTTTGTGCCACCTCTTTACACAAATTATGCTAAGTTAATTTTTCATTTCTAACTATTTGGTTTGACGTAAATTAATTAAAGTATGTTACAAAAAGTTTACCCGGCGCAGAGCGCGGGCTAATTAGCTATTGTATGATTATATACGATAACATATCATTCTTAGAGATGTTAATAAGTTCGGTTAATCATTAATTAATTTGGTGGATAGTGGTTTAACCTCTAATCAATTTTATCGGTTAGCCGTCTGTTATCGGTCGATTAGCGGTTAGTTTGGCAGTTAATCATTGACGAATGACATTTTTCTTTTGTTATTTTGAAATTTGTATAGTATCCTTTTTCAATAATAAAATATAATAATACAAATAATTCAATACATTTTAACTACATAGTTGTGTTGTTAACATAAAATACTAATTATAAGAAATAATATCAATACAAGTATACAATGCAACAGATATGACGAATTCATAATCCAAATTCCAACAAATAAAATAAAAAATAATCAAACATCTTCATCTAATTAGCGAGTACTAACTACCAACACAAGCACCACAAGATCATCCATTCACAAACATCAAAGAAACAAAAACTTCTAGGGTGCGTTGTTCGTTCTTTCGACTGCAAAGGGGAGTCAGAGAAAGGTCGGGTTCTAACTCTTAAACATATTTGACACTTTTGATCAAGGGTTGTTTGCAGGTGAATTGAGATGTTTGAAATTACGAGTTTAGTTCGATTAGAATCTTAGTATTTTCCCCTTTACCTAAAGCCCAAAATGTGATTATACTAGTAAGTAGTTATCAACTTTCTTATTGATTAACAACTAAACAAAATATCATTAACTAAAACCAAACCACCATAAATTATTGATTATAAATTATCCACTATAATTATCAATTCGGATATCAATTTAAACCAATTACCGACTAACTGGTTGCCACCCCTAATCATCCCCATAATCTACTTAGCTTTCCTTCCCATGCGTGCACGTGTCCGTTTCAACTTACATATTTGTATCCTTACATGTCCCAAATTTTAACCATACAATGACAACCTACTAATTAATATTTTCCACGATAAATAAAATATACCTGATGACATACCTCATCTTATCCAATAAGACCAATTTAATAAACCCAGAAACACAAATTAAATCACCTGAATTTCCACCATCGCGACGCTTAGCGCAAGGCTTCCGAGAAATTGTTGCAGAGTCGAAGGTAACATAGCCTGGTTGGTGAAACCACTGGCCTGGTTGGCTCAGGAAGTGAGAGGTCCTGAGTTCGATCCCCAACGGCGCCGCTTGTGTGTTCCCGGAGGCATCACTGAGTGCTGGGGACAGAGTCCCTCGATATTGTGTCTTGTACAGGTGCTCCCCAGATTTGATAGACCCCGCTGTCACAAAGTGACACGTAGGGTTAAGGTTCCTGAGTTATAAAAAAAAATTGTTGCAGATAATGGATTTTCTCAGAGGGAAGAAGACTCCTTGACCTGAAAAAAGAAGCCATGAACTGAAATTCAATACAAATCCAAGACCATGTAACAGACAATTCCCAAAAGTATCATCCTCTGAACAATGCACAGCTTACATGTGGACAATGGAGCACAATGTCATCCTTTTTACACAAGTAAGGAGCATTCTACAAAAGAAAATGACGAATTCCTAATAACCATCATCAAAAACCAACAACCATCTAACTGAGCAATGAACATGGATTCAACCAAAATACACCATACCAATCGGTGAAAGATTGAGAAAATGGAGATCAACCCGGCGAAAGCGACGACGCCGATCAGAATCATGGAGATCCTGGAGTTCTGAGACGAATAACTAGGTTCGTCGCTTGGGAACGGGACAAGATTGGACCAGAACGGACGGTCGCGATCCCTGGCGAAACAGTGGCGGCGACTGTCGTCGTCGTCGTTGACGGCGGCAGGGGGTTTATCGTGGTGGAGGAGGAGAGGGGAAGCGTCTTTCCCGTCGCACTTCATCAGAGACAAAGTAGCTGTAGCTTTGGCACCGAGCGAGCTCGAGTGCCTCAGCTCCGCCATGACTCGCTTCGGACTGTAAGACGCCAACTCTTTCCAGTTCCACCACCTAACTTTCTACTGCTACTAATTCCTTACCGCCCACCGGAGAAACAAGAAGAGGGGAATTGGGAATTCAAGGGAATTTTCTCCGGTCGTCGTCGTCTCTTCGTTTCCTTCCAAATTTATGTTTCAGTTCTCTCTCGCCGAGTCTGAGATCACAGTCCATGTGAAGTTGTTGAGTGTTAACCCAACGAAGCTCCAGATCGAGTTTCGAGATATCAATTGGGGTCGAATTCCGTAATTATGGATATAGTGTGATGTGATTTGGTAATTATCCACTTCCACCACCATGGTAATTAGTCACCAAACTTTAGCGATTACTTTCTTTTTGGTCATCACCAAGGGAAGAAAAAGAAGGCAGCTACCTTCTCTAAAACAAATTCATCTCAAATTATCATTGATATGTCGTCCTTTACTCCTTTTCTTAATTTGGAATCATAAGTTCCTACTAAAGATTAGAAATTTGCTTCTCCTTGTTGCTCATTCTCTTCAACCGATATGATGAAATATCACACGATATGATGAAATTGAATACCCGTAGATAGGGGTGTCCATTCGGGTTCGGTTTTTCGGGTTTACCCAAAATCGACTCGATTATATACATTTTTGGTTTGTCGGGTTTCGGGTTTTTCAGTTTTGGGTTCGGTTTTGCTTATCGGTTTTTCGGGTTCCGGCTAGAAACCTCCAATGAATAGAACTCAGCCCCTATTTTTAGGCGCTTGGGTTTTCGGGTTTCGGTTTTGCTTTAACCGAACCCGAACCCGATAAGTAATTTTTGGGTTTCGGGTAACCGGAACCCACAAGTCCTTATCGAGTTCGGGTTCGATTTTAGTGATTTTCGGTTTCGAGTTTTTGAGTTTTTTCAGATTTCGGTTTGAGTAACCGAACTCGACCCGAACTGACACCCCTACCCGTAGATATATAATCTGTCGAAATAAAAAATGCAATACATTTAATATAATGACTAAACTGTAGCCATCTCAAGGTTTTGGTGGCTTATTTAAAGCTATATCCAAAGTTCAGTGACCTTTTCGGTAATTAAATTAAAACCAGAGGCGAATTTATGTCGCGAGAACCCTGAAAACTGAAGGAAGAAATCCCTAGAAATTGAGGGGTCGTTTGCTTCAAAGATTTGGTACATGGATTTGGTACCAAAAAACCAACTATCAAGGATTTAGGTACAATCCGTTGTTTGCTTGCACCTTTTTTGGAGACCAAATCCGTGGGGCCCACGGATTTTAAGGGTCCAAATCCGTGGACCCCACGGACTTATAAATCCCACATGTTGATGTGGGATTTGGAATATGGCATAAATCCTTGATGAGATTTTACCCATATACCCTCATGCACTTTTAATATTTCAAGGTTACCTTCAAATTTAACTATTATACATTATAATTAACAATAAATGAATAATATAAACGTTCAATTAATGTGCAAACATGAGTTAGATTTTTTATATCATTTCTTGTGTTCTAGTTTTCTTTGACCTTTTCATGGAACGTGTAATTCTTTGTTCTCCCGATTCTAATATATGTTGTTATATGTCACTTTTGAAAAGGAGGACAAAGAATTGGTAATTGATTATGTTACGTTAAAAGTTAAAACGGAATTTTATCGTTTATTATTATTGTCCATGTGCCAACATATAGAAAATGATAGTAAGGGTAATTTTGAAGTTTTGTCCTTGTTTTGTGTACATATCATAAACATGTCAAACGTATAGAAAAGGACAATAATGTAATTTTTGACTTTAAGTAGTAAATCCCACACCTTTAAATCCATGATAAAAACATCCCAACAAACAAAGGATTGTTACAAATCCATGATGCCTCAAATCCTTGATAAATCCTTGGGTTTTTAAATTACAAAACCCTCATTTTTAAATCCATGAAGCAAACGACCCCTGAGAGAAAGACGGCCGGGGAAGAAAAATGATGAACTGGATACGGAGCAGCGCGTCCGTCGCCGCCGCGTCGTTGAACTCGTTGGTGACTCGGGAGAGCCAGCTGTATCGGACTCAGCAATGGCGGGGGATACGGGTGACGGTGTACGACGGGAACGTCGAGAGGGCTCTCACCGTGTTGCAGCGGAAGATGCAATCGAGCGGGATGGAACGACTGATCAAGCGGGCGCAGACGACTCACCTGAAGAACTCGGAGAAGCGAGTTTTGGCTCACAAGAACCTGATGCACCGTGTTAAATCTGAGGATCTCGCCCGCAAGCTCCAGGGCATCCTCCAGAAAAAGATCAGGTACTTGTCTGGATTCTTAACATCATTTTTCCTTAGCTTTTTTATCTGAGGGAGATGGTGAATTGTCACTCGCGAGAACTGCAATTTAGTTGTTGGAAATGCTTGGGATGGTGGAAAGGGATTCGAGAATATGGTATAGGGGTAGAGGGTTG